CATCAACTGAAGAATAGATAACCAAACTATGGTACATACACACAATGGAATACTATGCAACCCTAAAGAATAACGTAGAATCTGCAAAACACTGCATAACATGGATGAACTTGGAGGATATTATGCTGAGTGAAATAAATCAATCACAGAAGGACAAATATTGTATTAGTCTGTTATTATAAAAAGTCAAGGAAAGGATTATATATGGAAAGAAATTTTCTTTGTTGGTTACTAGAGGTGGAAGGGGAGGGGAGGGAATACTGTTAGACAGGGAGAGACAAGTATTGATTTTGGGTGAAGAGAAGGGCAATCTACCAAATGTAAGTGATCAACATGGTGGCATTGAGGAAGAAGAGGGCATAGAGAGGTACATGGGAGGTACAGACAACAAAGATGAACCCCTTTGCACATACAGTACTGCGTTGTCAGTGAAGGTAAACATGGGTATACAGGTGGACAGATGGGTGGACAGGCTGAACTAGTAGGTGTGTCTATGCAGGAGAGAGTGTGCCCAAAACCATGTATAGGGTTGGCAGACAATGTTTCTACAAGTGTATTTGTATGTTCTGTAAGAATTCTCAGATGTATAGTAGAGCTGACAAGGGACAAGGTTGTAATCACTTCTTGGGCACAGCCAGCTACCCAGAGAGAGCGAGTAGTTGAACCTGTCGGCTCGGGACCACAGTCACAGGGGACATCAAGCTCAATTGGCATAACATACTACACAAACATTGTTCCACATCCTACTTTGGTGAGTAGCAACTGGGATCTTAGAAGCTTGCAAGCAGCCATCTAGATGCAACGCTGGGTCTCTCCTCATCCAGAGCAAAGCAGAAAACTAAAGATTCATGGAAACAATTAGTCCAAGGGGGTATACCATGTGATCCTCAGCCTATATGACTATGAGACCAGAAATAGATGGTGCCCGGCTACCACTGTCAACCACTCGGAGGGGGATTTATGTAGGAGATCCTGGGTAGAGTGCTATAACAATGTGGAACAAAACTCAAAATTAAAAAAAAAAAAAAGGGACCAGGTTTGCTGGTTTAATAGAGCCTGATGGAACCACTGAGACTATGGCCCCTAGCTGCCTTTCAGGTCTGGAACTGAACTCACTCCTGTGGTTTCCAGCCAAACAAAAAGCATGAGGTGAACATTTACACTAGGTAGATACACTCCTTGGAGATAACAATCATGGGAGAATGGGAGGGCTGTGTATGCACAGGGACATAGCTCAGGGGGCAGGAGTGCATGGAGGGAAGGACACAGGGAAGAGGTAACTATCAGGAGGAAGTGGGAGGAGAGCTGTTGCATTTTGGTAAATTGTAGTCAATGTCATGAGACAACGTGTATGTGAACTGCTGTATGGAAAGTAAATTTGCTCTGTAAACTTTCACCCAAATCACAATTAAAAAAAAAAAAAGTTACAGAAATCAACAAGACTGAAAATTTAAAAATAAGAAAGAAGTCTATGAAACAAAAATCTAGTTCTTTGAAAAAGTTAATTGCTAAACCTTTATCAAGACTGACAAAGAAAAAAAAAATATATAAGACACAAGGTACCAACATCGGGAATGAAAGAGGAGATAGCATAGCTACTGATGCAGCAGACATTTAAAAAAATATTAAGAGAATAGCTTGAACAAGTATAAGGAGCTCTGGTGGTGCAGTGCCTATGGCATCTGACTGCTAACCTGGCAGTTCAAACCCACCAGCTGCTCCGTGGAAGGAAGATGGGGCAATTTACTATCATAAAGATTTACCTCCTTAGAAAACCAATGAGGGTCACTATGAGTTGGAATCAACTTGATGGCAATGGGTGTGGTTTGGTTTATGAACAAGTATATGTACGTAAATTCAACAACTTAGGTGAAATGTACCAATTCCTCAACCCATAAACTACCAATATTAACCCGGGGTGGGACACATAACTTGAACATTTCTGTAACTATTTTAAAAATTGAATTTGTAGTTAAACACCTAGAAAAGAAATACCCAGGCCCAGATGGTTTCACAGGTAAATTTTACTACATATTTTAAGAAGAAATAACAACAATTTTATTTGATCTCTTCCAGAACAGAAAAAGGAAGGAACATTTCCCAACTCAGCCCATGAGGCAAACTTTACCTTGATACGAAAATCTGACAAACAGTACAAGAAAAGAAAACCACAGACCAGTATTCCTCATGAATATAGACACAAACATCCTCAGCAAAACATTAGCAATCAAATTGAGCAATATATAAAAAGAATAATATACCAAGACTTGGGGCTTATCCCAAGGAGCTCTGGTGGCACTGTGGTTAAGGCATTGGGCTGTTAACCCAACGGTTCATAGTTTGAACCCCGCAGCTGCTCCATGGGAGAAGATGAGGCAGTCTGCTGCTAAGATTTATAGCCTTGGAAACCCTTTGCAGGTCGATATGAGTCAGAATCAACTAGATGGCAGTGGGTTTGGTTTTGGTTTTGGGGCTTATCCTAGGAATGCAAGGGTAGTTCAGCATTTGAAACTCAAACCAAGGCAATCTACTACATTAACAGTCTAAAGAAAACAACCACATGATTATATAGATCATAGATCTTAATGTAAAACCTAAAACCATAAAACTTTTCAAAGAGAGTATAGGAGAACCTCTTTGTGACCTGGGGTTTGACAAAGATTTCTGAAGCATGAAATAAAAAGCATAATCAATACAAGAATAAAATAATAAATTTGCCTTTATCAAAATTAAAATTTTTGCTTTGTGATAGACATTTTTTAAGAGAATGAAAAACAGAGAGTGGAAGAAAATATTTACAACTACAAAGGACTTGTATTGAGAATATATAAAGATCTCTTTAAGGTCAACAGTAAGAATAAATAAACCAATTAAAAAATAGGTAAAAAAAAATTTACCAGACATTTGGACCAAAGAGGATAGACAGATGGTAAAAACTCATGGAAAGATGTTCAACATCTTAGTCATTATGAAATGCAGCTAAAACCACAGTAAGATATCACTACACACATATTAGAACAGCTAAAATAAAAAATAATGACAATAACAAGTGTTGATGAGAACATGGAACAACTGAAGCTCTCATGGATTGCTAATTGGGATGTAAAATGGTAAAGTCACTCTGGGAAACAGTTCAGCTATTTCTCATAAAGTTAAACATACATTTACTATATGACCTAGATATTCCACTCCTGTGTTTTCACCCAAGAGAAATAAAACCTATGTCCACACAAAAATCTGTAACATGGATGTTTATAGCAGCTCTATGTATAATAGCCTCCAACTGGAAAGAGCCCAATGTTTTTTCAACAAGTGAATGGAAACACAATGGAATGCACCTCAGCATTAAAAAAGAACGAACTACTAAAACACACCATAACTTGGATGGATCACAAAGGCATCATGATGAAAGAAACCAGTCTAAAAATCATATTGTATGATCTCATTTATGACAACCTTGAAAAGACAAAACTATAGTGAGGGAGAACAATAGATCAGTGTTTGCCAAGGGCTGGGTTTGGAGGGGGTGCAAGCACAAAGGGGTAGCCTGAAAGAGCTTTTGGGGATGATGGAACTCTTCTGTATCCTGATGTGGTAATGGTTATACCAATCCACACATGTGTTAGAACTCATGGAACTGTATACACCAAATCTCACCTTTACTGTATAATAATTAAAAAACAAAGAAAGAAAGAAAAGACAAGCAAAGGATCACCCAAGTGAGAACCCACTACTAGTCTCTGCCAGTTATCTTGTACTTCCCTTTAAACAAACAAACCCCATATATTCCCTCTCATACTATACTTTCAATTAACTCATTTAATCAACACTTACGTAGCACTTAATATGTGCCAAGCAATTAAAAAATAACAGAAAGAATTCTGATTGATAGGGAAGAACTCTAGACAGGACGATTCCTTCCCCTTTGGGGTTTTTACAAGAGGAGGTTTTTCTTATCCATATACTTTCTTTGTAATGCTAAAAATAGTATCAGAGCAGGGCTGGAGACTGAAGTTGCTTTCCCTGTGAGAGAGGGGAGGTAGATTTTATAGATATAGAAACACAACTGAGGCTCAAGGACATTAAGTGAGTAGCCCAGTTTCCTAGGGTGTATTAGGATTGCCAAATTCCCAGGCAAGGGTTTCAATTCCTTTCAAAACGGACTGTGTTAATGTTGCAATATGTTTCAAGATTCTTAAAATTGTTTAGACCTTTGTTCTAATGATTCAATTTCTGGGAATCTAAGGACATAATATGAACTGTGGGTAATCTTTATGCAAAAGATGTTTAGTTCAGTGTTATTTATAATAGCTGAAATCTAGATGCCTAGATTCATGAGAAATAAGAAAAACCATGTATGCTATGGAGTATTAACCATTTTGCATAATTACTTGGAAACATGTTAGATACAGTGTTAATGGCAAATAACAGTATATAACATTTTATATATAAAGTAATCATAATTGCACTTTTTTAAAATTTTATTTATTTATTTATTTATTTATTTTTTTAATTAGGATTTGGGTGAAGATTTACAGAGTAAATTCACTTTTCATACAGCAGTTCACATATACTTTGTCTCATGTCATTGACCAAAACTTACAATGCAGCAGCTCCCCTCCCACTTCCTCCCCATAGTTACCTCCTCCCAGTGTCCATCCCTTCATACTCTTCTGCACCCTGAGAGGCCCATTGTCTGCCAACCCTGTATATGATCTTGGATACACTCTCCATTTAGACATACATAATTGTTTAGCTTGTTCACCCATCTATCCGTCCCTATACCCATGTTTGCTTTCATTGACAACTCAGTATTGTATTTACAAAGGGGTTCATATTTGTTGTTTGTACTGCCCATGTAACTCTCTCTGTCTTTCTCATCCTCAATGCTGCCATATTGGTCACTCACATTTGGTACATTGCCCTTCTCTTCACCCAAATCAATATTTATCTCTATCTATCTAACAGCATTCCCTCCCCTTCCCTCCCACCCCTGGTAACCAACAAAGAAAATGTCCTCCAATATATAAACCTTTCCTTAACTTTCACAATAACGGACTAATACAATATTTGTCCTTTTGTGACTGACTTATTTCGCTCAGCATAATGTCCTCCAAGTTCATCCACGTTATGCGGTGTTTTGCAGATTCTACATTATTCTTTAGCGTTGCATAGTATTCCATTGTGTGAATGTACCAAAGTTTGGTTATCCATTCCTCAGTTGTTGGACATCTAGGTTGTTTCCATAATTGCATTTTTAAAAGATAAATAACTCTGGGGAAAGGTCATGCAAACATTGATGATTAAAGGATAATCAAAATGCCAGCATAGCATTTTGGAGGTCAACTCCAATAACCTTGAAAATATGCATAACCTTTATCACAAAATTTGACTAGCATGTTATTCTATAGGTAAGTCATGAACATGGTGAAGATTTAACACCGTAGGGTTCACTGATAGAAATATGATAGAAATATCATTGCTATTGTAAACAATGCCAAAAGGTTTAAAATTACCTGATGGAACAAAAGATCAGTGTTTGCCAAGGGTTGGGTTTGGAGGGGGTGCAAGCACAAAGGGGTAGCCTGAAAGAGTTTTTGGGGGTGATGGAACTCTTCCGTACCCTGATGTGGTAATGGTTATACCAATCCATATATGTGTTAGAGCTCACGGAACCATACACCCCCAAAAGCTCACCTTTACTGTATAATAATTAAAAAACAAACAAAGAAAAGAGAAGAGAAGCAAAGCGTCATTCAAAGTGAGAACTCACTACAAGTCACTGCTCAGCCAGTTTCTCTCCCAGCTCCAGCTCCCTTTCCTTCTCCATCTCGGGGTAGGTTATGGACAACATCTCTCATCTACTCACTAAACCCTGGAGCTACACAGAGCTTGGTGATTAGACTAACCAAAGGGGCTTAGTTAAATAAATCAGGGTCTGCCTAAGGCATTTGACTACTAACCAGAAGGCTGGCAGTTCAAACCCACCAGCCACTCCTCAGAAGGAAGATAGGGCAATCTACTTCTGTAGAGATACTGCCTCGGAAACCCAAGGAGTGTCACTATGAGTCAGATCTGACTCAACGGCAGGGTGTTTGGTTTCTTTTTTTGGTTTACATATTAGAATACTATGCAGTTATTAAAACTTTAATTAATAGAAGAGCTGAATGACAAGAAGTTAATGCAAATAATTCAATTAAATTCAAATAAGGAAAACCAATTTACCTCCCTTTCAAAGTGTGTATGCATCGATGTATTCTATGCATATATAAAGGAAAAGAAATTAAAAAGATCTAAGAAAATGAGGGAAACCCTCAATGAGATGAAGTGACACAAGAGCCACAATGGACTCAAACACACCAGTGATCATGAACCATTACATTTGTTAGAGACAAAGTGGCCATGAGTCAGAGCCAACTTGATGGCAACTGACAACAACGGTGTTATCGAACTGGCAACAGTGGCCACCTCTGGGTGGAATTACATGACTTTAACTTTCTCAATAATAAAATTATAAGTGCTAATAATTACTTGGGAGCTCTGATAGCATAGTGCCTAAGGCACTTGACTGCTAACCAGAAGGCTGGAGGTTCAAACACACCAGCCACTCCTTGGAAGGAAGGTTGGGCAATCTACTTCCATAGTGATACCGCCTCGGAAACCCAAAGAGGGGTCGCTATGAGTCGGGTCCGACTCGAAGGCAAACAACAACAACAACAATAATTACTTGCTACTTGTCAGGTACTTCTAGATACACACTCTTAGGTACACACACATGCATATTAATTAAATCATTTAATTATTATCTTTGAGGAAGGTTAAATAACTTTTTAAAGGTTACACATACTGCTGGTAAGTGGTAAAGCTCAGATTCAAACCCAGGGACTGTGACTCCAGAGTCTGAGATATTAACCACTATGCTATACATTTTTTTCTTTAATTCATAGATTTAAAATTTCCTGTGGTGATCACATTTGGTGACATAAGAAGAAACAAAGTTATTTTTTAAAACAATTCACCTAACCATACATTTTAAGAACCGTCATCACTGTGGATATCAATATGGATATTGAAAAATTCTATTTGTCTAAGTTTTCCAAATTTCCTTTAATGAACATTCAGTGCTTTAAAAATGCAGAGAAAAAAAGAAAGAAAAAGCCATTTCAACTATAGCAAAATATAGCACTGTGCCAGACTGGTAGAGCCATGCCCCAAAGGAAAAGCCTATCACCTCTCTGAGGCCAACTCTCTAAACTCCAACTCTGATGTAGTCAACTGCTTGTACACCAGAGCAGGAGGGGAGAACCAGTGAGAGTCTCCCTTGTGTGAACTCTGCAGGTAAGACCAGAAAGAAGACCTCACCAACAGCCTCCCCAGAGGAGCACTGTCCATGCTTACCTCTCAGGGCCTCCTTGTTCTCTCCCTCCAGGACAAGTCGCTGCTCAGCCAGTTTCTCTCGAAGCTCCAGCTCCCTTTCCTTCTCCACCTGGGAGTAGGTTCAGGACAACATCACTCATCCACTCACTAAACCCTGGAGCTATGCAGAGCTTGGTGATCAGAGTCGCACCCTGTCATCCAAGTTATGGGAAAAGACACCGATAAAAGACTTCCAAGTCATGCAGCAGCGTGGTGGACTTCACCATCTTCAGGACTTAGAAGGGGTTCTCAGAGTCATGGGGGAAAGGGTCCTTCGAAGTCCTGAGTCCCAGTGCTCATTCCTACAGCCCGAATGCTACTGTGTTTTCTCTGCTTGCACATACTCAACGAAAGTTCCTTAACTTTCAAGGTTGCTAATTCTAACCATGCATAGGGCTTACTGTTACAAGCAGCCTCTTTAACCTCTACCTTTGAATCCTGGTTCTGCCCTCTGGGGCCACACAGAACCAGTCTCTCCCTCAGACCAGGCACGCTCCAGAGATCTGAGCACAGTAGCTGTGACCCCAAAGTTACACTTCTGAAAGCTGAACGTTCTAAACATTTTCATGGTCCCAGACTTGAGATGTTTTCCAATTCCTTTGCTACCTGTAAAAGTACAGCTGAGGGGCACACTTAGAGGCAAGGCACAATTTAAAGAGGTTCTAGCCCTAGCCTGCCACTGAGTACCTTCAGCCATCTCCTTCCCTGTCAAAAAAAAAAAAATCAAAACCAAACCACTAATGTTGAGTCAATCCCAGCTCATAGCAACAGAGAACGGACCCCATAGGGTTTCCAAGGCTATAAATCTTTTCTTTTTTTTTTTTTATTGTGATTTGGGTGAAAGTTTACAGAGCAAATTCACTTTCCATACAGCAGTTTACACACATGTTGTCTCATGACATTGACTACAATTTACCCCAATGCAACAGCTCCCTTCCCACTTCCTTCCAATATTTACCTCTTCCCTGTGTCCATCCTTCCGTGCACTCCTGCCCCCTGGACTGTCCCCCTGTGCATAAACAGCCCTTCTTTCTCCCATGATTGTTCTCTCCAAGGAGTGTATCTACTTCAGGTACATGTTCAATTCATATGCCAAGGCTATAAATCTTTATGGAAGTAGATTGCCTCACCTTCCTCCCACGGAGCAGCTGGTGGGTTTGAACCACCAAACTTCTGGTTAGCAACCGTAATCAATGCACCACCAGGGTTCCTGTGCCTTTTCTCTGTAGTGATGTTTTATTTTATGTTTCAACTTGGTGAGGCTGTTGTTGCCAAGTGTTTGGTCAATACTAGTCTAGTTGTTGGTATAGAGTGGTTATATGCAATGAAATCAGTTGGTTTTAAATAAAGCAGATTACCTAATATAATGTATTGTAATGTGATGTGATGTAATATAATTACTTTCCATAATGTAATGTAAGGTGCTCTGGTGGTGTAGTGGGTAAGGCATTTGCCTGCTAACCAGAAGTTCGGTGGTTCAAACCCACCAGCTAGCTGCTCCACTGGCGGAAGGTGAGGCAGTCTACTTCTGTAAAGATTTATAGCCTTGGAAACCCAATGTGGGTCACGATGAGTCAGAATTGACTCGATAGCAGTGGTTTTGGTTTTGGTGTAATGTAATGTAACGTAATGTAATGTAATCAATCAATCAAAGGCCTTAAGAGCAAAAAGAACATTTTCTTAGGTTGTGTTCTGTGTCTAGAATAGATATAGATTATTTTGGCAGAACTCTCACCTCTCTCTTCTGTCTCCTGATCTACGGAGCTTGGAATGTAAGCCTGCAGGAGTCTCTAGCCTGTCACCTGACTTGTGGATTTTAAATTCCAGTCCCCACAATTTGGTGAGCCTATTCCTTGAAATAACTCTCTCTCTCGTCGCTGATTCTGTTTTTCTAGAGAACTCTGACTGACATCTCTTTGGGGATCAGTTTCCCTTTCTGTACAATGAAGGGGCTGTGTTTGGTGATCCCCTTACAAGGGAGCCCTGGTGGTGCAGTGGTTAAATATTTGGCTGCTAACCAAAAGGTTGGCAGTTTGAACTCACCATTTGCTCTGCAGGACAAAGATGTGGCAGTCTGCTTCCGTAAAGATCACAGCCTTGGAAACCCATGGGGCAGTTCTACTCTGTCATATAGGGTTGCTATCAGACAGAATCAACTTGACAGCAATGGATTTATTTATTTATTTTTGGTTTTAAGTTCTGTTTCAAGTCTCATCACTAAGGACTCCTCATCAGTACCAAATGATATCAGGACAGTTATTCTACCAAAACAGACTAAAGATGCACAGACATAATTAATCTACCTGTTATAAGAAATATGTTTCTGAAAAATGTGTCTAAGCAAAGAATATTTTAAATGTGTTTGGGGCGTTCATTGCAGCCCACCACCAAATGAAGGTCTTGAGGACAGGCTCTGGATTTGATTCCTCCCTATGACCCTATAGCACAAGACAGCAGCACCCTATACCCTGTGAGACCTCAGCAAGTCTGCAGAATGAATGGAATCCTGAGCAAACTCTTCAACTAACAAATAATCCAAAAATTTAATAGGCCAATTACTTTATAACTGGAAAGCATTTTTTTTTTTTGGAAAAAAAATTCACAATTTTGAATATTTCATATCGAGCAAGTTTCATATTTGCAATTTAAAACAACCAATCAAAATTATTTAGAGAAAGCCTTTGGATACTCTAATAGGATCTTTCAGCTGCCCTATAAGGGAGCAACTCCTCTTACAAGGAAGGAAACTGAGGCCAAGAGCAGGGAAGTGTTAGGAACCAAGCAAGAATGAGAAAAAGGAACGCCTGGGCTGTGAGTTCTATTCAGCTGTCACAGTTTTGACTGATAACCAAAGGCTGGCGGTTCAAACCCACCAGCCACTCCTCTACTTCCATAGAGATACCACCTTGGAAATCCAAGGAGAGGTCTATATGAGTTGGATTCGACTCGACAGCAGTGAGCTTGGTTTGGGTTTGGTTTCACTCTGGATAGTACCTCAGTCTTTCCTCATCTTTCATGACCTTGATATTTGACGATGACAGGTCAGTAATTCTGTAGGCTGCCCTTGATTTTCATTTCCAGCTAACTTTTAAAGTCTTGTCTTGAGTGATACTTTCTCAGAGAGGCCTTCTATGATCCCACAAACTTGGTTAAGAGTTTCTATCATGTACTTCCATTACATTCTAAACTTTTTGTAGCACTTGTAGTTAATTCTGTAGAACTGTGTTTAACATCTGACTTCCTGTCTTAGTCAGAATAGGTGAAGTTATGTTGCAGCAACAATCCACAAAGTCTCAATGACTTAAAAGAAAAGGTTTTGTTTTTGCTCACTATATCAACTCCTGGGAGCTCTGGTAGCATAGTGCCTAAGGCACTTGACTGCTAACCAGAAGGCTGGTGATTCAAACCCACCTGCCACTCCTTGGAAGGAAGGTTGGGCAATCTACTTCCAGAGTGATACCGCCTTGGAAAGCCAAGGAGGGGTTGTTATGAGTTGGGTCTGACCCGATGGCACATAACAACAACAACAACAACAACATCAACTCCTGGCAGGTGGTTATGCTTGTTGCTATCAGTAATGGGACCCAGGATGATGGAGCAACTATCGTTTTGAGTAAAGCTGGTCACTTTGCTAGAAAGACCACTTAAGGTCTTGAACCAGCAATTAAATGCTAGGTCCAGAAGTGACATTGGTTCTTCTTTTTAGAGCTCATTGACCAGAACTAGTTTTATGACCCACCCAACCATGAAGTAGGTCAAGCGTATAAGCCAGCTGTACCAATGACTTTTACTCTTCCCAAATAGACCGTCAGCTTTGTGAGAGCTGCTGCCAGCTCTGCTTGCTTTAACCAATGTGCCTGTCACAGAGTGGCTTGATACAAATGTTTGTTCAAGTGCAAACAGTTTGCACTTGAATACTAACCTAAAGGTTGGTGGTTTGAACACACCCAGCAGCAGGGAGGAAGAAAGACCTGACAATCTGCTTCCATAAATATTATAGCCAAGAAAACCCTATAGAGAAGTTCTATTCTGTAATAAATGGGATGACCATGACTTGGAATTGACTCAAAGGCAACAAGCTTGGTTTTTTGTTTTGTCTTGGCAAAATAAGTAAGATATACTTACAACAATAAAAACCAAAAGTAGGCCCTCTGGGATTTATCAAGGTTGGCTGACCAGGGAGAGAAGAGAGGGGCTGGAGTCACCTGGCCTTACCTGTTGTGCCCACTGCTTCTTTTCCTCTTCATGTTGCTGGAGAATTCTGGTTATATCTTTCTGGTACTGCTCAGGCTCCTCACATACACAGAGGTGGACAGTTGTGGCTATAGATGAGAAAACAAAAAAAAATCACAGAAAGCAAAGGTGAGGTCAGGGTCCTGCAGAGAGGATGTGAGAGCCCAGGAAGAAGCGCTGAGAGCCCTGGCCTCTACCACAAAAAGGGTCTCAGATGGGGACCAACCACCAGAGGTAGTGCCCAAATCTCTCTGGTTTTGGAGACCTTCCTGCAATGCGGGAGCCAGGGTTCTCATACTGTCCCTTAAGCCCATAGAGGTGTTCTACTTACTCCACTCAATATTTAATTTTTTAAAAAAATTAGTTACTGGTATTTAATCTGGGAAACTTTTATTTTTATTTTTTTTAATTGTGATTTGTGTGAAGATTTACAGAGCAAATTAACTTTCCATACAGCAGTTCACATATACTTTGTCTCATGACATTGACCACAGTTTACCACAATGCAACAGCTTCCCTCCCACTTCCTCCCCATAGTTACCTCTTCCCTGTTCCATCCCTCCATGGACTCCTGCCCCCTGAGCTGTCTCCCTGTGCATAAGCAGCCCTTCTTTCTCCCATGGTTGTTCTCTCCAAGGAGTGTATCTACTTGAGGTAAATGTTCAACTCATATGCCTGTATTTTGTTTGGCTGGAAACCACAGGTATGGGTTCAATTCCAGACCTGAAGGGCAGCTAGGGGCTATAGTCTCAGCGGTTCCACCAGGCTCTATCGGACCAGCAAACCCACTCCCCCAATCTGGGAAGCTTTTACATAATAACCCACTCCCCCAATCTGGGAAGCTTTTACATAATAACAGAGTTCCAACTGTTCTAGAAGAATTAAAAGAACTGGCCACCTGGGCCAGCATGCCTTCAAGTCCACCAAGAGCTGAAGCTAAGGAGCAGCTGCTTCCTTTGACCAGGGCATACCTCTGCCATTTGCCACAGTCCCCACCCCTCCCTGCAGAGGGCGTGTATGAAGGGCCACCGATCATTGGCTTTAACCAGCTGGCCTTGTGAGCATCTGAGTTTGTGATCCTTTGACCTGTAGTATCTCCCTTGACCTGTAGTATCTCCCTACTTGGAGATGGAGGGGCTGCTTGTAAGCAGGAAGTAGACCCAGATGACCCATCCTCTCTGTACCCCAGTTACATGCTTGTGAAATCAGGATAATAAGGTTATCTACCCTCATGGGACTATTGAGAGGATTCAATCTGAAAACAATGGCAATAATGATAAAACCAGGTAAACAGTACTGAGAACTTACTACATAGGTATTACTCATTTGATCCTCATAACACCTAATTGTGGTGAATATCATTATCATCACCATTTCACAGATGAGGAAACTGAGGCATAGAGAAGTTATGCAACTTGCCCAAGATCAGCCAGCTCACAACTAGGAGAGGAGGGAATGTGGACCTACACCATCTGATTCCATGTTAAGCACTCCTAACAACCAACTTATTCTATTCCCTTGTGCACAAAAATCAGTAAGTGGAGTGCCAGACATTTAGGAGGTGCTCAATATATGTTAGCTATTGGTGTTTATAGGAGCTCTGGTAGCATAGTGCCTAAGGCACTTGATTGCTAACCAGAAGGCTGGTGGTTCAAACCCACCAGCCACTCCTCGGAAGGAAGGTTGGGGCAATCTACTTCCGTAGTGATACTGCCTTGGAAACCCAAGGAGGGGTC